CAAATGGTTCCTGCTTAGTGCTTGACGGTGAGCTTTTCAGCAGCAGTCAGTAGAAAACAAGAACAACTGTTTTCTATGCCGCTAAGAAAAATAACAAAGAAGGTTTTCAAAAAATATATATAGAGAAAAAGACGAGTGTCAATTTATAACCCAGTTTTCTCAGAGAGAGGGGCTTTGACTGTGAAATGATCACCCATTCAGCATAGTTAGCTGCAGACTGTTTGCCTCCATTTCACTAGCATCTAATGAATTAAGGAACATAAAAGTTACCAAAATATTCATATATTTAACTTGTCCCTGTACATTTTACCACACTTAACAGGTGAGCCAGTCGGCAGCAGCTTAAACCCGATAGCAGCATAACCTTCAACCCCTGTCCCAGTACAACAGGTGAGCTACACAGTGACAACCTAGTTAGCATCATTCCAGTGAGTCTACAGGGATTTCTCTGTCTTTACTCTTTTTACAATTACACAACAAAACAAAGTATTTGTTGCTGACAGAAATTCTAACAATCTTTATAAAATGATAATAAAAACAGCCTCCTGAGCTTGCATTTAAATTACAGATCAATCAATCAATCAATCAATCAATCAATCAATCAATCAATCAATCAATCAATCAATCAATCATCAATCAATCAATCAATCAATCAATCAATCAATCAATCAATCAATCAATCAATCAATCAATCAATCAATCAATCAATCAATCAAATTTTATTTGTATAGTACATTTCAGCAGGGTAGAGTGCCTTCTCCGGGTCGAGGGAGATGTCCTGGCTCAAGTGGAGCAGTTCAAGTATCTCAGGATCTTGTTCATGAATGAGGGAAGAAGGGAGCGCGAGATCGACAGGCGGATTGGCGCAGCGTCCGCCGTGAAGCGGCGCTGTACCGGTCCGTCGTGGTGAAGAGAGAGCTGAGTCAAAAAGCGAAGCTCTCGATTTACCGGTCGATCTACGTTCCTACCCTCATCTATGGTCATGAGCTTTGGGTTATGACTGAAAGAATGAGATTGTGGATATAAGTGGCCGAAATGGGTTTCCTCCGTAGGTGGCTGGGCTCTTCCTTAGAGATAGGGAGAGAAGCTCGGTCATCCGGGAGGGACTCAGAGTAGAGCCTCTGCTCCTCCACATCGAGAGGAGCCAGTTGAGGCTCTGGCATCTGGTCAGGATGCCACCTGGACGACTCCCTGGTGAGGTGATTCGGGCACGACCCACCGGGAGGAGGCCCCGGGGAAGACCCAGGACACACTGGAGGGACTTTGTCTCTCGGCTGGCTTGGGAACGCCTCGGGATTCCCCTGGAGGAGCTGGAGGAAGTGGCTGGGGAGAGGGAAGTCTGGGCCTCCCTTCTTAAGCTGCTGACCCCACGACCCGACCTGGATAAGCGGCAGAAGATGGATGGATGGATGGATGGATGGATGGATGATGGATGGATGAATGGATGGATGGATGGATGATGGATGGATGAATGGATGGATGGATGGATGGATGGATGGATGGATGGATGGATGATTTGTTGGACAGGCCTGTGAAGACGCTGTTGCAATAATCAATGTGACTAAAGATAAACGCATGGATGAGTTTCTCTAGATCTGGCTGAGACATTAGTCCTCTAATCCTGGAGATGTTCTTCAGGTGATAGAAGGCTGACTTTGTAATTGTCTTTATGTGGCTCAGGTTCAGGTCAGAGGTCATCACTACTCCCAGGTTTCAGGCTGATCGCTAGTTTTTAGTTGTAATAACTGTAGCTGTGCATTGACTCTATATCTACAGCTCTAGATCAGTAGCTATAGATCTATAACTATAGATCTATAGCTCTAGATCTATAACTCTAGATCTGTAACTAGATCTAGATCTCTAGATCTCTAGCTCTATATTTGTAGCTCTAGATCTATATCTCTAGATCTATAGCTCTATATTTATAGCTCTAGATCTGTAGCTCTAGATCTATAACTCTAGATCTATAGCTCTAGATATATAACTCTAGATCTGTAACTAGATCTAGATCTCTAGATCTATATTTATAGCTATAGATATATAGTTCTAGATCTATAGCTCTAGATCTATAACTCTAGATCGTTCCTCTTTAGGTCCAAAAATAATGACTTCAGTTTTGTTTTTGTTCAGTTGGAGAAAGTTTTGGCACATCCACACATTTATCTGTTCTAAACATTTATTCAGTGATTGGATGGGGTCAAAGGTCACCTGGTGACATCTTAATGTAGAGCTGAGTATCATTTGCATAGTTATGGGAGATAATATTATTTCCTGTTATGACCTGAGCTAGTGGGAGAATATAAATATTAAATAAGAGGGGTCCTAGGATTGAACCTTGGGGAACCCCACATGTGACCTTTGACCTCTTTGATGAGAAGTTTCCCATTGAAACAAAGAAATTCCTGTTCTTTATGTAGGATTCAAACCAGTCGAGCACCGAACCGGAGAGTCCAACCCAACTCTCCAGTCCATTCAGTAATATGTCAAAAGCTGCACTGAGGTCCAACAGAACCAGAACCAGAACCAGCACTGTGGTTCTCCCACAGTCCGTATTTATATGGATATCATTGAATACTTTGACTAGGCCAGTCTCCGTGCTGTGGTCATCATGAGGAAACTATTTAATTGTTTACACAGTTTTTTCAATAACTTTGCTGATGAATGGGAGGTCAGAGGTCAGAGGTCGGCCTGTAATTCTGCAATAGTGATTTGTCCAGGTTGTTCTTTTTTAACAGTGGTTTGATGACTGCTGTTTTCAAAGCCTGGGGGAAAACACCTGATGTAAGCGATGAGTTTACGATTTGGATCAGATCTGCAGCAATAACAGGCAGGACTTTCTTAAAGAAATGTGTGGGAAGGACGTCCAGACAGCAGGAGCTTGAACTTAATTGACTTATAATTTCTTCTAGGGTTTTATAATTAAGTAGTTGAAAATGGGTCATTTTTCCTGTATTTGTTTTGTTTTGGTACAGCAATGGTTCTGGCTTTGAAGTTGATGTACAGATTAATCCTCTGATTTTTTGGATTTTCTCTGAAAAGAAATCAGAAAACTTATTACAGGCAGCATTAGATTGGAGTTCAGGTGGTAACGTCACAGGAGGGTTTGTGAGCCTGTCAACTGTTGCAAATAAAGTTCGAGCATTATTGATGTTTTTGTTTATGACATCTGCAAAGAAAGCCTCCCTTGCATGTTTTAGTGTTGAGTGATAGTTACGTAGTTTTTCTTCATAGATGTCATTATGAACGTGAAGTTGAGTTTTACGCCATTGTCGTTCTGCTCTGAGACTGAGTTGTCTTGCAGATCAAACTGTTTGTGCTTTTCTCCATGGAGATTTCTTTCTACCAGTCAAAACCTTTACTTTAACTGGGACAATAGAATCAATGATATATGAAACTTCAGACTGAAAATCATCTAACAACTGATCTACATCATTACAGCTTAAGGGTGAGGAGGAAGAGTAGATTTGATTAAATGTTTCTGCTGTGTTTTCTGTGCAAGAACGTTTTGTGACAGTAGCCGTTTGTCCAAGTGGGTCAAAGAATAAAGAACCTTCATAGATAACAGCAAAGTGATCCGACAGGCGACATCAGTTACAGAGACATTGGAAATATTCACACCCTCACTGATAACCAGGTCCAGTGTGTGTCCTTGAGTGTGTGTTGCTTGTGTGTGTTAAACCAAAATTTTCTAAAATATTAGAGAGCTTATAAGTTCCCTGTCCCCCCCTGAGTTATTCTCCTAAGTGAAATTAAAGCTGCAGTATATAACTTTTATTAAAAAAAAATATATATTTTTTACATATTTGTTGAAACTGATTTTATGTTGTGACAGTATGGTATGAGAGATAATTTGTGAAAAAATTATTTCCTCTACTTTCTCCCAGTGCTATCAAGAAACAACCAATCAGAGACAGGAGAGTTTTAGTGCTGTCAATCACAATCTCATGCGGCTGCTCATCACCCTCCCCCTTGCTCTGTGCTACGCTGCAGCTAGCATAGCCTGTTGTGAGTGCTCAGTTTAGTTAGCATAGCTACCAATGACAGCAGATAAACAGTTTTCCTGTAACAATAAATTGTTTCTCCACCATTAGCACATTTAGCAGTGAGTTGATTAACAGCACTGAGACCCTCCTCCTGGTTCTGATTGGTTATTTCGGTCGGAACGGTGCATTACTTTAGCCAGTAATAGTGGTTCAGGGAGGAGGTGGAGATTGATTTTTACACAGATTATTTGTCTCATAGCAAACTGTGAGACAGATAATCTCATGGTTGTCTGTCATGGTGACAGCTTTAACAAATATGGAGAAAACATATTTTTTATTAAAGTTATTTACTGCAGCTTGAATAAAATGCAACTCAGTCTGGTTTGCTTCATGTGTATTTTTCATGTTGCCTATGACTCATGTTCATGGGGAGAGACATTTCAGTAAATTAAAACTTAGAGAAAAAATTTAAGGAACCTATTTGCATACTGCATGCGGCCTGTTGCATGTAAAATGCATTAGCAGTAAATATATTGCTCAAATCCAAAGGCAGCAAGGCAGTTGCAAGCCTTTAACATCTGATGTGTTTTTTGGGGTCAAATAGATTCAAGAAATTGTAACATGGGGGGCCCCAATTTATCTTTTTAGTCATGGGGCCCAAGATTCCTGGTGGCCCCCAGTTTGTTAGTCAGACCTTTGAAGACACTGCTGCAGGAATCAAAGCCACTAGAGAGAAATGTCTCTGACCTGAGACTTTAGTCTCTGGTCCTGGAAATGTTCATGAAAGTATTGTTAAAAACAAATGTTTGCTTCATTCTCTTTATGAAAGCTTCACATGCAGATTCTTGCATGTTTTCACAAAGAAACCTGCAAGGATTGAACAGAGAAACAACTGTTCCTGATCTTCTGGTTTTTAGTTTCATATAGTCTTGTTTTGTTTGACAGCAGCTATTAAAACTTTTCTTATTGGACTTGTTTGATTTCCCAGCTTTTGGAAAACTTTAGGTTTTTAGATTTTAAGTGATTTTTTTATTTATTTGATTTTCTGATTGTATTTGGTTCTTTATCTTTGCAGATTTTGAGCCCATGAGTCAAAGCAGCATTATCAAACCTATGCCAGCATATTGTGAGTCCAACTTATCTGACTTTGATTTCCTCTGCTGATCTCCATGACAGTGTGATCAGAAACTTTAAAATCTTATTTTTTAAAAAAGGTTTTTTTCAACAGTGTCTGTTTGACCATGAAAGTTTCTCAACTTTGATTTGTATTCACCTTTACTTTAGACAAAACTGGTCCATGTTACTCAAAACAATGTGCGTCCTAAAAAACACCAGTTTGCTAGCAGAGGAAACATACAAACAATTATTGCCATTCTTCTTGGAAAATTGAAGTCAACCTTGTTTGACTGTGTTATAACTCTATTAAATTTCTCGATTAATCCAAACACATGATAGAAATAAACCTAAGTTACCCAGTGAGACACAGTAAGATGAGACATTACTTGTTAGGAAGATTTGACTTGCAAATGTCCATCTTGAGGTTTTTAAATCCCTCCTGAAAATGCATCAACAGTTTTTATAATAATTGAACTATAATTACTGTAGTTAGCTGCATAAAGAGAACTTCAATAGGCAGGAAAAAGGCCTCCGTAATAATGTCTGCGGCAATGTAAAGTTTGCATGTCAGCATTTATGTTTGCTGCTTTCTATTATAATTTTTAAATAATGCAATGAAATGTGTATTTTGTGTTGGTTATGTCATCATCATTAATTGCTTCTATTTTACTTATGGATCCATTAAAACCCTGAGAGATAGGGGATAGTCTTTAACATGAAAATTAGATGATTTCTCATTCTGGTTAAATAAATGTATTTGTCTCTATTTACAGTTACATCACCTCTGAAGCGAAGCCACAGCAATGAACTCATACCTCCTTCCTGTGAGTCTAAGTTTGAATGAGAAAAGAAATACTCAGTTATCAAAACAGAATCATAACAAAACAGAAACATAAAGTAGTTGTGTTTGATAATTCTTCATGATTAAGACAGTAAGATTTTAAATAAAATAGAGAAGTTCCTTCATTTTCATTATGTTCTCATTTAGTCTTTTTCTCTGCGTTTGCTCCAGTGTCTGAACCTGAACTGAGGGTTGTCCTACTGGGAGGCAACTGGTCCCAGAGAAATCTAGTTAGGACCCTCATACTGGGAGGGAAAAGTTTCACCACGAAACCAAACTCCTTTATCAAAATCACTGGATCAGTGAGAAACAGGAAAATATCTGTTATCAACACTCCAGATCTGCAGTTCCCCACAGCGGACAGCATTACAGAGTTTATTAGAGGATGTGCTGCAGCCTCTCATCCTGGACCTCATGTGTTCCTGTTGGTTCTTCAGCCTGAAGACTTCACTGAGGAAGAAAAGCACAGCATCCACCAAGCACTTTACCATTTCAATGATGAATCATTTAGTCATTCACTGGTAATGATCCTGAATCCCAAACAGGAAGGTTCAATATTAAAGGAAGAACGGATGAAGAATCCTCAGATAAGGAATCTGATCACAGAGTGTAGATACAGATATTTATTCCAAATGATGGTTGAACCTCAAGAGCTGCTGATTCAGTTTGATCAAATAATGAAAGAGAACAATGGAGAACATGTGAGCGTTTATGAGTTTGTGGAAGAGGAGCCTCCTGGTGTTTCACTCCATGCTGTTGTTAAAAGTAAGTAATAATGTTTGTCAGTATATTTTTTTAAATGATAAAATTTAAGCTTCAAGTTTGTGTATTTTCACAGATCCTTCTCAAACAACTGAGCAGATTCCTCTGCAGCTTCCTAAAGATGGCAGTAAGTTAATTTTCCATTTTTTTGATAAATCATAAATTTTCATTTAGACAAACCAAACATAAAAAATATTCCCTTTTAGAATCTTACTAATATTTAAAACTTCATTTTGGTGAAAGTCTGTGTTTGTAAAATTGCAGTTTTCATTCAGGTGTGCAGAGGTTAGCTTCTGCTGTAGCGCTAAGATGGTTGCTCATGTTCATGTATTGCAAATATATTTTTGTTTAAATAATCAAAAATATATTTAATAAATAAGACTTAAGACTCAGAAGCATATTTCAGCTTTTTATGGGCAGCTGTGATCTGTAACCCTCCCAAATGCTGGGGCTCCACTGTATATATATATGATCAATACTAAACTTTGAATTCTTAAAATGTTTTACTGACATTCATGATGTCAGTAAAACATTTAGTAACCCTGTGTGCTCTTTACTGTGCTCAGTAAAGAGCACACAGGTGTAGAAAGGCATTTTGCAAAGGTAAACTTTTATGAGACACTTGCAATTATGAAAATAGAAAATTTTGTGGTCTATTTTTCACCTGAGTTTCAGAGTGTATTCACACCTGACACATTTGATCCACTTTAAAAAGACCAGTTTGTTTCCACATTAAGACTTTTTCTGCAGATGTGAATATATGCAAGCAAATCCTGGTGCAGGCCTTGGTGTGACCTTGGTCCATTTCCAAATAAACGTTGGTACAATTCGCTTCTAGCGTGAATACAAACCAAGCAACTACTTGGTCCATATTTCTGGACTTCATGAGCCGCTGTTTATCATGGAAGCCCATTTCCGCCATGAAAAAAAAAAAAAGACCAACTGGAAGTCATAATTTTGACTTTCAAAGTCATAATTATGAGATACCGGAGCAGTTGCAGACAAGCCTCCTTAGAATAACAGTGTGCTCCAGCTCCCAGTTAAATATGATCCTAAATCCAAAGTCCAACCTTTAAATCCACTCTAAGTCTTTCAGGACAACCCTCAGCTTTAATCACTGCATCCATGAAGTATCCAGCAATGACTCTTGGATCGTTATTTGTTTTGTAGGCCTCAAGCCATATTAGCCTTCTGGAAAAACCGTCAATGCAACCATTGATCCCAATTCCAAATGGTTTGAGCTTATCGTAGCCGTCCATATGCCAAACGTAGTTTGGACTACGACTATAGTAAATCCGTCTGTCTGGTCCTGGTCTGGTTTTTGCCTCTTTAAGAAGAACTGGGAGATCTTCCCTTTTCTCTTCATTTGGGCTCTACACAAAATAAGAGCCTGGTATTTAGACTCCATGACTGTTTGGCAGAGACACTATTTTAACTATTATTTAAACTATAGTTTTTAGTTTTCTGTAGCTAGCTAAAATACTGAATTAAAAATACATTAATTAAAATGAATTAATATAACTAGTGAGGTTATAATTCAAAGCTTTCATATGACATAGCCTACTTACATTTCAGTCATTATAAAACTTAATGGTTTTTCTCATATTCTTACCACACATTTCAAGCAAGAGCTGGGAGAAATAAAACATTAGAGGGCAGCATGTCACTAAAACATGTTAAAAGAATCTGTCTAAAACACGATCTACCAGCACTAACATGGCTAATATAATAAATGAGGCACTATGCAGCGGTACACAACCATTTGTTTCTTTTTATAAATGTAGGACAAGTGCCGCCTCTCATTAGGAAGGTAACAGGTTACTGCTGAGCGGTAAAATGTTGTAAATACCTGCAAAACTCCTGACGGTGTAACTCTAAAGCCGTTGATGTGTTTTGGATCAAGCAGGAACCAACATGTCAGTTTAACCAATGAACAGCATCGGGCATCGAGCTGCCTTCAGGGACAGTAGGAAATTACACTTTTCCTGGCAAATCTTTGCCGATCTCATAAGTATTATATTTTAAAATAACCATTTCCAGTGGGGTGGCACTAGGGGTGGCCAGGGCTCTGTTGGGGGTGGCAAGTGCCACCCCGGCCCCCCCTCTGGCTCCGCCACTGCGAGCATTTGAATCGGAACATGGGAAAATTCTGCAATTCTGAAGAAAAAATAATCAGAATTGGTTAAGCTAAATGAAAAATAGGATCTTTATAGTGCAAACCACAGGGTGAAAATAGCAATATAATGTATTTTATCATCATATATTATTTTTCTGCATGTCACTGACCAAACTTAGAAAGACAGCAAATTACCGCCTAAAAATATTGCCAGAATTAGATGACTCATGTCAAGATACTGAAAACGAGTTCATGCCTTTGGTTTTTGCAGATTCCATTATTGTGACTTTGTTTTCACTGAATAGTCAACAAACCAATGAAGCAGTTTCTTCAGAGTGGTGCTGTGACATTTCTTACAAAATCAAAAAGAGATCAGCACATTAGTCCCGTTCTGAGGTTGTCGCTCTGGCGACCTGTTGCTCAAAGAACAGAGTTTAAAATCTCCAAATTAATGATTTATTAAGCACTTACTAGTAAAAACTGCCTCTCTGATTTTTTCAGTTATAAAGGTTATATTCTAACCTTTAAGATCATGTGAATCAAACCTATTAACTGTTCCAGGAGTCAGAACTCAACTTTTCAACTAGATTTTATGTGCAATCTGGAATCAGCTGCCTGTTTACTACAGGAGGTATAAAACCTTTCTATTTGCTGTTGCCAACTCTTAGACTAGTTTATTTTGATATATTTTTCACCTTATAAAATTGTTTTACCTGTTTAATAATAGTCTGTTGGTGTTTTTAATGTATGTTGTTTTTAATGTCTGCTTTAGCTATTTGAGTTAATTTTGACTGAAAGCTGCTATATTAATAAACATTACTCAAAATATGCTTTGTTTTCTTTGCGAAAAATTATTGTGATTTTTTAGTAGTAGTTGTAGTGGTTGTGCATATTTTTACAGCATTAAATAACTGAACAATAGAAAAAGAAACTCAAGAGAGTTATAATTTCATAATCCATCCATCCATGCTCTGACACCTTGTCCCCAGTGGGTCAGGAGGTGCTGCTGCCTCTCTAGCTACGTTTTGAGCGAGAGGCGGGGGCATCTGGACGGGTCACCAGTCTGTCGCAGGGCAACACAGTGCTACCAACTTAATTTTATAATTTACATTTAAAAATGTAGTGGTCTAAACTTCTTCAATATGTGATTAAGATCACAACTCAACTTTTCAACTGGAATAACAGCAGAAACTTTTGACATCCACATGTCAACTGCAGGGACCGACGGTGTTGACCATTTGAACAATTTACATTATTTACCCATAAACTAAAGAACCAGCAGAGGTCTGTGCTATATTGACTTGAGTAAGAAGATAGAAAGAAAGAGTCATCAGGAACGGTTTACCAGTGACCTCCTAAATTACAGCCTGAACTGCTTTGCAGAATATTATAACGTTTTCTAAATTGACCTCTAAAATAATCAGGCAGTTGAAGCCCATCTTAACAGCTGCAGCTGGAGTCCTGACAACTACAAAGAAAATGAATCACATTATCTTAAATAACAGCCATTATTTAAGATAACACACTTTGAATTACACCGTTTATGAATGTTACAACATAGACTGGCCTGCCCTCATTTAAATGAGACACAAATGTGATTTCAGTTTGTTTTGAGTTTTTTCAGCATGTTGTTGATATGCTGGTGATTTTCATATTAATCACCAACTGAATGCAGGAACATTCTGTGTTGCAATATGATTGTTTTAACATTTCATTTCTTTCTTTGTGGTGTGACAGTTTCTTTTAGGATTGTACTACTCGGAGAAAAAGAGAATAAAAGGACTGAACTTGTTAAGCAGATGATCAGAAATCAAGAACTTTTCATCCAAAAACCTCCTTCCCAATGTGTGGCTTACTGTGGAAAGTGGACAGGAAAACCAGTAACTATGGTGACATTTCCTGACCTGTTCAGTATGTCAACTGAGAAAAGGAAAGCAGAGGTAAAGAGCTGCTGGGATCTTTGTCATCCTGGACCAAATGTTCTGCTGCTGTTAGTGAAGCCTTCAGATTTCAATAAGGACCAAAGAAATGCACTGTCTTCCACCTTGAGGCTGTTTGGTCGATGTGCTCTCAAACACTCAGCGGTCATCACAACACAAGAGGATGGTCTCATTTATCCTGTCACTGAAAAACTTATTGAAAACTGTGAAGAAAGATGCTATATGTTTTCAGCTGACTCTGGAGGCCATGAAGAGTTAATGGAGATAATTGAGAATATTGTGGAGAAAAACCAAAAGGACACATCAGATCTGTTGGAAGGGAAGGAGAAAAGTTTCTCTGAAGGTAAGAAAAAAGTTTTTACACAACTTAATCATTAGCATGAGAACACATGAAGAAAAAATAAACACTCAACATCTAAAATAATCTGTTGTACACTGTAGCAGATTCTCATTTTCTGACACTTCTGATGGTCAAATTTTTGATTAAGACACTAGAAAATGTTTCTAAATCTCTCAGTGTTCAGGGATCCATATTAATCACAGACTGTCTGCAGGAAATGATACAAACCAACTTTTTTACTTCAGTGTTATGGTCTGTCAGCCTCAGAATGACTGACAGGAACTAGCCACGCCCTCATTAAAAAATGAATCTGAACCAACATGTGAAGAACAGAACCAGGATAAAAGAACAAATTATATTCTCAACATAGTAAGGAAGCTAATCAAAATACTGATCACATGACACATGTGACTATCATGTTTCTATTCCTTAACTGTTGAAGCTTTAATCAGAGATAGCGTTCTGATACCACCTAATGTTGAGCCGATGTATAATCTAAAGCTGAAGTGACGAACAGTTTGTAGGTCATTTTCCATTTTTATGACTGGAATTAAACAGAATAAAATGCAGCAGCTGCTTTTAGCCGTCTTGCTGTGACATGCTTTATAACCAGTGATACTCCTGAGCCGTCCTCAGGAGGAGAGACCCTCTTGGGGTCAAAGGTCATCCATTCATTCATTCATGGCTGGTTCCTGCTGATCTCTGCAGGCTAGACAAAGACTTTTGCTGATTGTGTCATTACTGATTTACCTTTACGGTCATCAAGGAGCAATAAAGCGGTTGCTCAGAGCGGGGATGGGCCGGTGGGTTAGGCTGTGATGAAACTCTTAGATGGCTCTCTGTTCCAACACAGTCAAACAACTGAATCATTTCCTCAGCATCCTGCCTTATTATTTAACTCAGGTGAGTTGAAGAAGAGACTCATCTAAAGCTGCAGAACTCAATCATTCCCCAGCTCTACATCAGAAAACTTAATGATTTTATGAGACAGTGACCAATTCCTCAGTTTACAGTTAATTATTACATCTAAAGGTTTAAGCTTGATGCACTTTTCATTTAATTTAATGTAATATTCATATTATTTTTTCTATAATTTCCCAGATAATCCAGAGCGTCTCCGGATCGTTCTGATTGGGAAAACTGGCAGTGGGAAGAGTTCATCAGGAAACACCATCCTGGGAAGAAACCAGTTTAAATCTGGAGTTTCTCCACAGTCAGTTACTAGAAGCTGTGAGAAAGCTGAATGTGTGATAGACGGTCGCCATGTTGATGTTGTTGACACTCCTGGTCTGTTTGACACCAACTTGTCCTTGAGTCAGGTTAATGAAGAGATAAGGGAATGTATCAGTCTGGTGCATCCAGGTCCTCATGTCTTCCTGCTGGTTTTACCGATCGGCAGATTCTCTGTAGAAGACACTGAGACACTGAAACTGATTCAGGAAGTTTTGGGAGAAAATTATAAGAAGTTTACCATCGTCCTGTTTACCAGAGGAGATACACTGGAAAATGATAAGATCTCCATTGAACAATACATTGAAGATGATTGTGATGATGCCTGTAAGAATCTGATCAGAGAGTGTGGAGGAAGATACCATGTGTTCAATAACCATCAAATAAAGAATCGATCACAAGTTACTGATCTGATCAAAAAGATCAACATGATGGAGAATGAAGGCAAATGCTACACCAAGGAGATGTTATATGGTGTGAACAGTTGAAAGCAAAATAAAATCTCCTGTTTGTGCAGGAAAAATGACCAATAAAGTTTATCCAGAATCTGATTGGTGTTAAAATAAGAGAAAAGAAACAAAATAAACTCCCAGAATGCAAAGCGCTCAGCCAATCATTTGTTTCTGAAAATGCATATTAATACTAATCTGTAATATTACTTCTCCTAATAATCACTGCATTGTTTACTTAGTTATTGGTGCTTTACTTTTATTCTTGATTGCTCCTTTTTACTGTTTAATAAGCATATTTTTTCTTGTAGTTTATTTTAACTTTGCTGGTCTAATTAGTTTGTAACAAAATTCAAAATCAGAGATCTGAGAAAAGATTTAATTTAAAATAAAGAAAATGTGCTCTAACTGTACAAATCATTTCCATTAATATTTCTGATATTGTATTTTCTGTTGTGTAAAAACAGCAGGTTGTTTAACTTTAGGATTTTAAAATACATATTTCAGGAAAGAAGAAAACAGACGAAGAAGACAGAACTGCTGCACAGCTCAGAGGATGAGGAAGTTCACATTAAAAGATTTTCCCATCCGTTGATCTAGTCTGCTGTTGGAATGCTTGCAGCATGAAATGTTTAACAGAAATTATAACCTGACCCAAACTTCAGATCCACCATTTACTCTCTGAATCACTGAGGCTTGTAATGCAAACAGAAAATATTTAGACTATAGAATTAACAACATTTTCTTTGTGTTGTATGAAATACCAGAATTTTCTTAATGTGTTCAAATTTTTCATTTTCAGTTTAATGTACTTGTTTGTTGGGGTTTGTTTTTAAAATAAAATTGTGATGACCAATGTTTATTATATTCTTTTTTGATTTCCATTTGATTTTGTTTTTGTTTAGCAGCTTTACATTTAGAGTTTAGATAAATGTTTCTGCTTGGAATAAAAAAGAAAACCCTCACAGCGTGTTGTCCCCTATGAAACATCAGCGAATTGTTTGCATTGAATTTATTTGTAGAGAAAGTAAAAAAAAAAAGTATCTTTAGTTTATATTGTTCACTCTATTACTATTGTTGTGAAAACCATCATTTATTCTAAACCCAATAGACCAAAAACGTGCAAGCGCACGAGCAGCAAATCAGCCAACACAAAGCAATCAGACTTTACGTTTTTTATTCTTTTTTAGCGCTAAAAAAAAAGACGCTTACCATCACAGACTAGAATTGAAAACCAGGGGCCCCGAGTTTATACAGAATGTGTTTAAAAAACGGGAAGATTCGTTGCTTATGATCTAAGAACACGCCCAGTGGTCATCCGATGTCCTGCGTCACCTAAATCTCTATTTGCTTGGAGACGGGAGTGAGGAGATGATTCAGTTTCTGTATCTGTTACAAATACAAAGGCCTTTGTGTGAAAGTATGAGAGTGTAATGTGTGTAGAAGCATATGTGTGTATTTGACCTTGACCTAAGTGCCTCAACAACTCCCCCTTTTGGTCTCAAAGAGACCACACAACTTAAGAGGGCTCTCCATCCTGAGTAGACATTGCCCCTATCTGGAAACATCCCCCGAGGCTCATTACAGATGTTGACCCGTCTTCAAACTTTGCTGTTGTCTTTCATGCCATTTTATTGTTGGGGGTAAAACAGATAGAGCACCCCACGCCTCCGAAGGCGGCGGACCGAAATCACAATGTCCCTCTTACAGGCTAAACAATAACATAAAAAAAAATAAATAAAATGTTAAAGGACGTTTAATTGTTAGAAGAAAATGTGAGTGTTAATGAACTATAAATGAGTGCATTTTTTCAAATAATATGTGAATGTTAATAAACTGTGACATTAATAAAATGTTAAAAATGAGTAATGGTAATATAATTTAAAAATCTATTAGTAAAATGTTAAAGAATGATAAAATGTACAGTGAGCAAAATGTTAAGGTAATACTGTAAATCTCAACAAAATATAAGCCGAATAATAGTTACAAAAGTGCAAAATGCCTAAAGTGTTAGGTAATAGATTCAGTAAACCAAAAGTTAATAAGATAAACTTTAATATGAAGAAATGTTAGACAATACTTAAAAAGAGAAAATGCAAACAACGAAATGTGAAGATCTCAGGCTTCAGTGTGACGTTTCAGCTGTAAATTGGTACATCAATCACGGAAGGCGCCTACAGTCTCACATCTCGGCACACCCAGAAAAGATTAGGCTTTATTCACTAAACACTGGAAAGTTGAAGTTCCACGGTCGTTTTACGTCCAGGGGGTTGGACTCCCCGGACTGCTCCTGCATGGTTTACTCACGGCCTTCAGTCCTACCAGCGTCTTGGTCACCGTTCCATCAGACACTGTGTGATTTGGCACAAAGACACAACAGAGACCTCCAAAAATAGCACAAACCTTCAATTGCATCTCTAGTTAAATTAGTTAAGCTCAGCACATTATAATGAATATAATTGATTCTGTCTACATGTTTGTTGGGTGTTATGCATAGGAAAATACTCTCAAAACCTGCAGCAACCTGGTCCACCAGTTTGTATTGGTCTGGAACTTACCGGGCAGGAACACCGATGCTGTCAATATAAGTGCGTGAATTTGTGGTAAAATCAAATGCGCTGCGCTTTACTCGTGCGGAGATGCTGTCAATCAGGGGTTGTTGTTCTCCTACCATTATGACATGGGTTCTAAGTCTGACCATAGCACAAACGCACAAACCCCAAACATCAGATCGAATCAAAGGAGCGGGCTCAGTATACATTCTAGGTCGTCCAGCTGCGCAGGCCACACAATTAGACATTTGGTATTGTCGCACTGTTGCAGTGAACCAGTTTAATCACAAATTGGTTCCCGTATAACCTGTTGCTAACATGATCACATCAGCAGGAGTCAATTTGGAGTAGTCAAAAATTAGCACACCCCCAGTCCTTTTATCTAAAAAGGCAGTCTCAATTTCAGGTTCATTGTTTGCTTGTGTCAGGAGGTTAATTTGAATCACTTTTAGGGGGTCTTCCCTGCTTGCCTCAACTCCGAGCACAATGCGCATTCTGCTAGGGTTGCCATCATGTAGTGACTTCTGCACACCATGCAGTGATGAAAGAAGTGGATTCTCAGTGGGTGTTCTGGGACCTGGAAAGCTTTGTCCGGTGGTGAGCTCAAATGGTGTCAGTCCCGTCCTGGAGTTGATCGAACACCTGATGGACATCAGAGCCAGAGGTAATGCATCAACCTAATTCAATTTTGTTTGTGCACAAACCTTCGCCAATTTTGTTTTCAAGTTCTGGTTCATTTTTTCCGCTTTTCCTTGAGATTGTGGGCGGTACACTGTTCCAAACCTGTGTTTTAGAACGAGGTGGGCCTCCAGGTCCTCACAAATACAAATACAAAAACAGGGACTAGGTTTGCAGGTCCTTGTTTTTAAAGTGGGTTCCATTGTCCGACCTGATTTTCTCTGGGAAACCGTGCCTGGGGATATAATGATTAATTAGACATTTTATCACTGTCTTACTGTCATCTTTTTTTGCTGGCCAGGCTTCTGGCCACCCTGTGAAAACAACTCAAACCAGCAAATATCTTTTGCCTTACACTGTGTTCACCATGTCTGTGAAATCCAACACAATCTCTTTCCCTGGACATGTAAGTAGAGGAGACTGTCCCTGTTGGGGATATAAAGTTTTCTTAGGGTTTTACTGTCAACACATTACACAATTTTTCACAAAATGTTTCACCATGTCAAGCATGTAGGAGTGCCACCATTCTTTAAGGTTGTGCATCATCTGTTTAGTCTCCACATGTCCAAAAGCTCCTGTTTTTCCCAGGGGGCAGAATTAACCTGCCAACTGGGCCCCTTCAGCATCTATTTGTTTCAGTGGCGCCCCTGTGCTTCCACATGTTTTTCTCTTCAAGCGACGCCCCCTTTTGGCATCTTTTCACCTCTTCCAGTGTCAATTTGTCTTTTAATTCCTCCTCTGAGGAACACACCATGGCCAAATCTGTGTGTCTGAAACAACTGTCTCACATCTGGTCCCATCAGAGGAGCTGCTTCCAGATCTGGTCTTACCTTCTTTGTCTTTGCCACCTGCTCTGCACATTCGTGTGGTTCTCCTTCTGCAAAACAGTCTGCCATGTTTATGCCTGCATGTGTGAATGAAATGTTTGGAGCTTGGCTATCCCAACTGCATTGTGTACAAGGGTGATGCCTTTTTCCCATGTCGTCCATCAGTACTTTTCTCTCTCCCCCTTTTTTCTGGAACAAAACTCCGTTAACAGCCAGTTTTGTTACAGAAACATCAAGGAAAAACAGCAAGGTGTAGTCCAGAGGGACTACACCTGTATTTACAGTATTTACCGGTACCTTTTTTCTCCACTGGGAGAATGGGAGTGTTCCAAACAGACTGTGAGGGTTCCAGCACGCCAGCCTCAATTAGGCCTGTAATTGTTTCTGTGATGCCCTGTTCAGCTGCGGGTTTGTGTGGATACTGAGGAATCCAGAAGGGTCTCTCAGAGTCCACCTGAAATGGAATAGGAGAACAGGAAACAAGCCCAACATCCGTAGGCGATTCTGCCCAGAGAGAAGCAGGCAGAGATGTTATCATTTGTTTTGCTAAAGGGTGTTCAAATTTTCTTTCTACCATGACGTCTGAAAGCTTGTTCATGATGGAGCTCTACTGTTTCAGACATTGAAAAACTGATCTTGTATGTGTCAAGAGAGGGGGAGAAAAACAAACCTGGCGCTGCGGTGATAATTCAGTCTATGGCTGCCAGTGACCGTTTAACCACGCCGCCCAGCTCCTTAGCTTGATGCTCAGGGTGCAAAGAGAGAGAGATGTGAGGCACAGCCTCTTCAGACATTTGATACCACTCTGATTGTTGTTCTGTAAGACAGATAGCAGCAGCCACACCACCAGGAGCCACAAAAATATCTGAAATTTTTACCTCCCAGGTCGTTTTCCCCAAAGAGGAAAAGAAAGCTTCCTGGTACCACTCGGAGTTGTCCCTGTCGTAGAAAAGGGTGACACGAGGGGGGCCAGGCGATGAGACATAGGGACGCAGAGCCAGGATCCAGGGCTTCCAGGTCATGAACATTGACATCAGGCTGCTGGAGGGTAAGTTCGTTAGGAGGCCCCAGTAGAGGTCAGCACAGTCAGACACCACTGGTTGCATGAGAAACTGTCCATCCGAAGGTCAGAGGCGTAGTGAATGGCAGAGTCTGTTCAGTCCCTGAGAACCCTGGTTGACCTTGAGGTATGTCCCAGCATTGCTGGGCCCAATGTCCAGGCCGGCCACAGGAGTAACATACGTCATGCCCTTTAGACCATCCACCCCTTGCTCCACGGCCTCCCCAAGCCTCTCCGTCCACGACCAACCCCACACCACCCTCCTCCACGAGGGGGTCCTCCATACCTGTTTTGGGAATACATAAAAGGATAGAGAGAGAGAGGAGCAGGTCCTCCCACATATTGATTAGTGTTTTGCATGTAATTTGGAACCCCTCCCTGAATATGTGTACCTTGTGATGGGGGTCCTGTTGCTGCAGCTGCCATCATCACCTGTTTTCTTTTATCTTTCTTTTTACTCAGTTTTTGTTTTGCTTCCTGCAGTTGGAGTTTCAGCAATTGATTCTCTAAATCCTCAGTGTCAGACTGTTTTTTCTTTAACTTGTTCTGTGCCTTTAAAAGGTGATGAAGAAGGTGTCTCTCCCATCTCACATGTTCACACCCTGCAAGATCTGGATTATTCTTTATGGATTCTACAACCTGTTCAGGGACACCTCTTTAGACTGCTTCTCTGAACATTACAGTTAAGTTTGTGTGTGTGCCTTTAGGATTAACTGTGGTTTGTTTGAGCCAGGTTTCT